TGGTTTGAGCTACCACCACTACTCCTTGTCGACTGCCTAATGGTAAACTGGAGCCACTACCCATTCCCTGCCGACCCTGGACCCACTTAGAGGAGGACTTTGCAACTGACTTATCTCCATCACAAGAGTATACCACCATTCTTATTGTTGTGGATTGCTTTTCTAAGTCATGCAAACTAATCTGACATCTTGCATCAGCCAATCCTCCAGCTACCATCCCCAGTCTAACGGCCAGACCGAGCGTAAAATTCAAGAACTTTCCCGATTTTTTTCTGAACGTACTGCTCTTAACACCAAAACGCCTGGAGCCAGTATCCACTGTGGGCTGAGTATGCACAGAATTCCTTCAGACAATCCTCTACTGGTTTAACACCCTTTGAATGTGTTTTAAAATTCCGAGCGAGAGGGTGTGGGACTTAGCTCATGTCCACCTGCAGCGAGCAGTAAGGATGTACACTGACGCTGCCAACTGCCACCATCTTCCCAATCCCACCTATCGTCCGCCCCAACCCCACCCCTGACCAAACCAAAGTCATCCCTTACAACATCTACCAGGAAAAGAAAATCCTCGACTCCCGGTGGCGAACGGCTGCCTCCAAACGCGGGGTTCTGTCACATCTCCGGCTCGTCCCTCAGCACCAATCATCGATCCCCATCTTCTGCCACCTCTCATCACGCCCGAGGACATTCACCTGAGTTCTAATCAGACAGTCCTGCACCCCTCATCAGCACTCCCTATATAAACGAGCAATTCCAATCAGTCAGTGGCTGCAATCGATGACTGACGGTTCACCTTACCTTCTCCTTGACTTACCTTCTGTGGATGTTTCCTCTCTCCTATGATCGTTTAACTTGTGGATGTTCCTTTCAAGCCTGTGGATGAACAAAGCTATCAATAAGGGAAGTTACTTTACACTATGTTTGCTAGAAGTTATCTGTTTTAAACGTAAACAACAATCCATCAGCTCTCCTACAAAGACTCCCACTTACCTGCTACTCCTGTTTATTAATGCACTGCTTGTTTGAATAAATTGATGAAAAGAGAAAACCCTCCTTGTCCTCATTGTGTGGCCGTGACAATTCCAACTCATTATCTACATTTACAGCGATTTTTAAACAGATCATCTTCAAGACAGGAGTTTCTGTATGGAATTTGTACAAAATCTATTCTAAAATCAAAGAGAAACACAAGTTACATTTTTTTGAATACCACATATTCAACAAAGGTGAACGAGGGAGGGGATTGATCGAAGGTTTGTGAAAAAACGTCACAATCCCTTGTAAAAAAAATTTGTAGTGTTTTCAAAATTCAAAAATACAGTATTTTATTTTGAGAGTTAATGTGGCTGCTGTATTTTGAGGTTTTTTGATACATATAAAATGTAAGTATTTGAAATTTTATTTTAACCCACATTTCAATGTATTTTTTGCCCATCCCAGTCCAATATTCATAAGAAACAATCTTGTCTTTAAAATTACCTCCATGATGTCCAAATAATCACATGAATCAAGTTATGACAACACCAAGCCATGAATCTCTTACTGCTGGTTTATGCAGAGCCACAGATATTATTATAATCCTATGGCTGAGTGTCATCTCTTATGCCACACTAGATGAGCTGGATCCTCTCAATACTCTGATTCAGTCCTTAGAAATTTGGTATTCTCTGTTTTCCTTCAGTCAACCCAGCTGTCCTCAATGGCCTTGAACTCTCCTGATCATTGCCTCCCGCCTCCCAGACATAAAAAAAAAACAAATCCATCCAAAGAACTTGCGATAAGTTTGGTTTAAAAACCGTGAGCTGAAATAAACTGAACTAATCTGGAAAGTTCAATTCTTGTCAGTCTCAACTCAGCATGAACATATAAAACCCAAAGCTATAACACAGACAAATGTATGAAAAGCAAAGCTCCACAATTGCTTGGTTTGATTCTGAGTGATGCCTCAATGCAACATTCACCTTAAGAGTACTGCCATGTTTCTTTGAAAAAAAAAACTTCATTATTCAAATTATTTTTACACCATTCTAAGCTTTTAGCATGAATTTATGCTAGCATTTTAAGAAAATGTTAATTGGCTATTGTTTTTTTTCTTTTCTTTTCTTTTTTAACTGCTAATTGCACAGAGGCTCTTGATCATTCCCCTTTATTTATGTTAGTTTTAGCTTCACCAGAAAGACAAGATGAGAGCTTCTGCTATTGTATCGTTTGTCTCATCCCTTCTCTTCATCTTTTGTTTTAGTCCTCTCAGTGAAATAACCGACATGCTGTTGTGTATGCGTCTCCAGGAGGATCCGGATGTTGCCATGGAGACCTCTTATATGATATTTTACCTCGTGATTAACAGACTGAAGGGCTGAAAGGTTTAGGAATCTCACAACCACCAAAAGGCTCCTACACAGACCGAAAAATGAACATATTTGGTTTGTGTATGCAATAACCACAGACGATCAGGGGGATTTTTTACTTTTCTAAAATAATAAAGTGCATCCTTGTTTTGTTAGTTGCTGTAGATTTGAACATAAATTTCCACGAGTGAATAAATAATAATTAAAACTATATTTGGCACATTTTTACAAAGCACACTAAAAACAGATTGATTGATGACTTCGTGGCAAGAAGCGAGCTGTATGAGTCTTTAGCGCCCTCCGCCGTCAAAAAAAAAAAAAAAAAAACACTGAAAATGTTTAGGTTCCGTTCTACATTAATACAGAAAATAGTGAAACTTAGTTATATAAGCACAGCCACACGAAAAGAATATACACGTTTTAATATATGTTGTGATGTAGGTTTTTAATAGCCATATGTGACGTCATAACAACATAAATAAATAAAAATAAGAAAATATTTACTTAAGAACAATCAAATGTACAAGAACAAATAATAAGGCGACGCGGTGGCGCAGTGGATTGCACGATTACCTCACTGCAAGTCGCTGATTCGAGCCTCATAGGGTCAATTGGTATCTGTGTGGAATTTGCATGTTCTCCCCGGGTTTGCTCCACTGGTTTTCCCCAGTCAAGACATGCTGTAGAGGTGAATTGGGTATTCTAAAATTGACCGTAGTTTATGTGTGTAAATGAGTTTGTATAGATTTTTCCCAGTGATGGGTTGCAGCTGGAAGGACATCGGCTGTATAAAACATATACTGGATAAGTTGACGGTTCATTGTGCTGTGGCGACCCCAGATTAAGGGACTAAGCCAAAAAGAAAATGAATAAACGAGGAACAAAAATAGGATAAAAAAAAAAACAATGTTTCAGGAAACCGTGTAGACATATCTTTTCATCTCCTCTCACTTATTTGCCGAAGTTAAATTCCATAACATGCCAATTACATGTGATACCAATTTCAAGTGTTCGCACATATTACTTTTTTTTTGTGCATATTTTTTAGTTAGTTATTAGTTATTGCCTTGATAATAGAAAATATAAGCTAGTAGGCATCATGTATGACAGTTGCCAAGGTATGAGCTATTTAGGAAACATCTTGTAATGTACATATATAGGGCTTATATTGTATGTTGATATAAAAAAGCAATACAGGAGACCTATATAGCCTGTTTGTATAAATGCACATCAATTTAGCCTATATGTTTGCATATATGCAGCATGTATGCTATCATATATGTGCATACATACTGCATAGGTTTCATACGCGCATTTATCCACATATAGGTTCTTTCTCACCTCACATTTTTTTAAATTTAGAAAACAGTAATATTCTGCATAAGAGGAAATCTTTATTATTGAATAACTGGTTCAGTAATGGGGTGATATTAATGAAGCAGTTATTTGACAGTAATGGTAATTTATTTACTTACTCAGATATACTCTCACCATATCCAGAAAATAATGTAATATTGTTAGTCCATCTCCTCTGTGATTTGTATGCTTTTTAGAAATAATAATAATTTGTTGATTTCTGTATGTTCCCCAGACCTGATTCTGTTGTTGGATCCATTTTTTTCTCCACTAAAAATGATAAAATCAGGTGTTTATTTTTAGATCTTGTCATTTCAAAACCCTTTTACATTTCTTAATGGAACAACCTTTTTGATGATATTAAATGGTCAAATGTTTGGTCACTCCCCCGGATTTTTAAACAAATAGAACTAAAGAAATTTCTTTTAAAATTATTCACAGATTTTATCCAGTTAAACATTTTTTTTACAGAAACTTCTTCTGATTCTGTTGCTCACTTATTTTGGGAATGTCCCTTTTGTTAAATCTTTCTGGTCTGATGTGAATAATATAATTGACAAAAAAGGTTTGTGGTGATTTTTCTTTAAGCTTTAGACATATTATTTTGATGTTTTACATTACAGAAAAACAATTTCTCAATTCAAGTTTTGTATTATTCTAATATTTTGTATTGCAAAGTTTTTTATACACAAGTGTAAATATACTAAATGTAACCCAAATTTTTTTTACATTTAAAATTTTTTTTTTTAATTTTTAAAAATTTGTTACAAATTTTTTAAACAAAAATTGGATCTGTAGCTGAATACCATTTCATAGTTTCATAACAAGAAAGCAATTAACACTTCCAAAACATGTGCTTTATATAATACTCTGCATTCATTTGTGTTATTTTTTCATATGCCCTCTCTTTCATTTTTTTAATTTTTAATTGAATTTTAATATTTTATTGTTTTTTTTTCTTTCTCATTGTCTTTCTCTTTGCCATACCACTGTAATACTTCTTTAAAAATTGTCATTCTCTTTTTGTGCAAAAAGTAATATTTGTATTGTTAATTATACAAATTCTTCCCATTGTAATTGCCTTTTATTGCAATATATACATAAATTTTTAAAAGAAAACAGTGGACAAGTATGTTTGACTGGGCATTTGGCTATTCACCCATCAACAAAGTCCTATCGTGTTGAAGAAATTTTTCCACTTTCAACTTTTTGCCGCTAACCATCTTGTTGTCAGGAGTGTGGAGAATCATATATTGTGTTAAGGTTAAAATAAATAATAGCACATAACAACAGTTGTACTGTAGCTCATGTTTTTATTTAAATTCCATTATGATGAAGCATGTTACATTACTCATTACAGAGACCTTTTTGTTGCAGAATATGGCATTTCATGACAGGCTATTTCTTAAAAAAGAAATATTTAGATTACAAAAAAGTTATAACAGCTATGGTTTTACCTCAATTAAAGGGATAGTTCACCCAAAAACTTAAATTCCGTCATCATTTTCAGTCATCAAACCTTTTTATTTGAGTTAATAATATAAGTTTATTTCTTCTGTTAAACCAAACAGAAGATTTAAGAAAGCTAGAAAACGGTTTAATTCCATAGTATCATTTGTTTTTCCTACTATGGAAGTCAATGGTTAGGGGTTGTCAGCTTTCTTTGAAATAGTTTCTTATTTGTTCAACAGAAGTAATAAAGGCTTGATACCACTTGCGAGCAAATAAATGTTGAGTAAATTTCATTTCTCTTTAAGATAGTGTTAACATTACCCAAACTGTGTATAGACAAACTAGAATAGACTTGTTTTTGATTATCCACTTTAGAAAGTATGTTGACTATAAGCAACATGCAACGCTCATTTTAGCATTAATAAGCTGTTTGGTCAAAGTTTTGGAATGATTAGTTACTCGCAGTGAGTAAAATGTATGTTGGGAAGCACAAAAAGTGTTGCTATTATCAGATAAGTCAATTGAAATCCTATACATTTTCTTTGGTTTTGATTGTTGTTCTCAAAAATAAAAAAATACAATTCAGTGATGCCAAAGATTGGCTGTACATTTTATTTATTTAGTTGGAGGCCAGAATCTGATCCACCCAGTCACGGAGCTCGGTGACTCGGCCGTACACGCCAGGCATAGTAGGGTCACAACGACTGCTGCCCCAGGACACAATACCCACCAGAGTCCAGATATTATCCTTCTGACAGACCAGAGGACCACCAGAGTCACCCTAAACAGAGAAAAAGATGAGGGAGTTGACCCAAGATAGGTACTGTAGAGAGAAAGAGCGATTTGAGGAAGTGACCACATTCTTACCATGCAGGAGGAGGCACCAGCAGCACCTGCGCAAATCATGGTGTCCCGGATGTTGCTTCCCCAGTGGTTCTTGCAATCTTCATTGGACAACAGTGGAAGAGCGACCTGCTGGAGCTCATCAGGGGTGAACAGAGCTACAGGGAGAGAGAAAGACAGCAATCATAAAAGATGTTTAGTATTGCAAATAAATCACACACACTGACGCAATAACATCACAAAATGTTGTGGTTAGTAGCTGATATTTTTAAAAGCAATTAGCACTTCTGTTCAGTGGGTCTTAAATTGCTCAGCCATGACGGGTAAAAGTGCTGTGTTATATTTTAAATAAATACTTTTTCTTTTGAACTTTCCTTTTATTAGAAAATATTGAAAAAGAGTACCAGTCTTCACAAAAATAGTTCATTTATCTTTCATTTCATCATCTATGTTCTGTTCATTGTCTGTTCATTATCTTCATTCAACATTCCATCACAGAGGTAAACAATATTTTAGCACATTTTTTAAAGTGCAATAATATTTCAGACTATTATGAGACTTTTTTCCTGTTTCATTTTTCTTTGAGTTTCAAAGGGATTATAAAAATCTTACCCAATACTTTTGACAAGTTGGCTATTTATAATGTAGTAGCTCTGGAAAAGATGAAGAGGCCACTTTGAAGTACCAGTTCTCCGGATTTACAATTTATAGTTATGTGTTTGAGGAAAATTGTTTTATTCTGTATATTACTGGTTACATTTCTTTCAAGTTAAATATAAAACACTATATTTACAGTGTTTTGCTATATTTGTAGTCAAACTTATACTTGGTTTTACCCTTGTTTTAAGTTCAGAAGAGTTAAAAAGTCCATATTTGACGGAATAACCCTCAAAATCACCTATTTGATATTTTGCCAACTTCAAATTTTCTAAAATAAAAGCTGTAAATGATTTATTCGTAACATTATTAAACCTTTATAGCATAAAACAAATATTAACATTTCGCTCAAAATCAATAAATCCAGAGAGTGCATTATTTTTTCCCCTATATATTAATGGCATAAAATGTTAGGATCATTAAAATAATGAATATCAGTTCAATAAGATAATAATGTGCTGTTGATATTTCTTGGCTACTGTATGCGTGTATTATGAACTATGATTTTATATGAGTGAATTAACCAACCATTGTATCTGGTCACACCCCATCCAGAAGTCACACAGGTCATGCCAGAGGCAAAGTTATCTGAAGCCTCAGCCAGGCAAACAGGGGACACATGGGCATTCAGAGAGGCTGGTGCAGTCAGCTTGACCAGAGCAATGTCATTCTCAATGGTGTTAGAGTTATACTGAGGATGGGTGAACACCTGTAAAAGAGCATGGCTCATTAGTGTCATATTTCAAAACATTGACTAAAAGAGCACTTAATAGAGGAATACAGAATTCAGGCATGTTTAATGATTTTTTGTCCGAAAAAATAAGTTTAAATGGATAGTTCACCCAAAAAGTATTCATTTACTCACACATCGCTTGTTCTGTTTTAATTTGTCTTTTTCTTTTGTTAAATACAAAAGAAGATATTTTGTAGAAATCCAGAAACCTGTGCTTTCTGTAGTATTTGTTTTTCCTTCTATGGATGTCGATGGTTACAGACTTATAGTTTTCTTCAGAATATCTTCTTTTGTGTTTCACATGAGAGAGAAACTCATAAATGTCTGGAACTACTTGAGGGAGATTAAGCCGCAAGCACATTTAGATTTTTGGGTGAACGATCCATTTAACATGTTCTAGCTCTCATGAATTCTAGAAAAAAGTCTCTGAGCCTCACTTTAGACACTTTCATTGTCTGGATGTCCTCCTGAGTGTTGCTCTTTCCCTTGTTATGCTCTCCCAGGATCACACGGTGACTAGTTCTGTAGGTAAGACAAAGATGTAAATTAATCCACACACATACCAGTTTTCAATCAGCATAATTATTTGACTGTGGATTCAAAATTAAGGCCCAATCAACATAATTATGAAGATAACTATATAAATATATAATAATGTGGCCAAATTCTGAAAATGTAAAAGGTTAACACATAATGGTGACCTCACTGTTATATGAAACATGCAGACCTTTGTTTTTGAAATGCTCCTAAAATATCTGCATTTTTTAATGTATTTTAAATTGACATTTTTAAATTTTATTCATATATTATCCAGCTTTAAAAAAATATTTATATGATTATAATGACAAAATGATAAACACTAAAAATTATTATATGAACCTAAAGCCATTCTAACTTAGAACTGTTAAGTTGACAACTAATTTTTTATAATTAGGCACATACAATCAATAATCAGCTCTCAGTGTGTTTTATTAATGGAAAAATCACACACAGTACTTTTGTTATTAATATACTATTTTCATCAACAAACTCAACACACATTTTATAATAAGCATGCATTGTTTTGGCAACTGCTCGTGCTCTAAAGCAGGATGGATTCTGGTAGGCTTTTAATATTTTTATTCTTCATGAACAGAAAAAAAAGTTCTGAATGACATTCAAATAATATTGTTCATCTGAGCCTTATTGTTATGGTGTGGAATTCAATATTCTATTAAAGGCTACTTTAAGCCTTTATTCTCACCTCACACTGCAGTGAGCAGCAGTAACAACCCAGAACTCATTGATCAGAGAGCCTCCACAGAAGTGGAAGCCAGTGAAGTCCTGTCATTAAAACAAGAAAATAACAAAGAAATAAATGTGACTTTGTATAAGCTGTGTGTAATTTTCACACTTCACAACAAAAATCTGAAAAAGGATTGTTAGATAAGAACAGAACTGTACCTGCAGAGACACCTGCCAGGGCCAGGAGTGAGGCACTGCCTCCTCACCGTTCACAATGCGGGCATAACCACTGACAACAGGAGGAATGGCAGGAACGCCACAGCCTGAAGAAAACACATAAGAGATCCAAGGCTGTAAATAATGAGTGCTAGTGTTGTATAAATAGGCCATTTGGCCAATGTTTTTGCACTGTAAAAAATCCTGCTGCCTTAAATTGATATAAATTAACTTTTCATGTCATCTTAACTCATATCAATCATACAGACTAAACATATCAAACGTTGCATAGCTTAAAAAAATACTTGAAATCTGATAAACTTAAAGCAACATAAAGATATAAATCTAACCAGCAGATTTTTTAGCAGAAGATGATAGCAGATATTTTCAGTCACTGTAAGTATGGGCGTTGAAAAAAACATTTCCTCACCATAGGCTGCACTAAAGAAGGCAACACAGGACAGCAGCCACAGGAAAGCCATTGTAGACACGAAGACAGCATTTACTGACTGCAGAAAGCCCTATTTAACCACAAACCCTGATTTCACACATGCCAATGAGGACATGGCAACCTCACGTTATGGTCAAAAATTAACTCTGAGAGTCAGTATCAGCTGTTCTTCACCTGTGCATAATCCCATGATTGTACCTTACTGTATTTTAACATTTCCTATATGTCAAGTATGCATTATTTATAGACTGGGCAGCACTCCATGAGCAAAAACTGTAAACATTTACATCTAAATGTTTTATTATGATTGATGACTTGCTTTGTATACATTCAGTTAGGAGTTCAATATTAAGTGGAATATCTGTAAAATTAGAATATCTTATTTTCTGGATGAGAGAAAAAGTTTGCTTTTATTTTAAAATAATAGGAAATGTTATCAGCCCTTTATAGAATAAAATAAATATTAAAATTTTACTTAAACTCCTAATACACCTAAAAAAATTCTAGTGGTCTGTATAATATCAATAATTTTAACTATAGCTAACTTTAATTTTAAAACTTTAATTTACTCACTCCCTATATTTGGTTTAGTCCCTGATACTGTACATCAGGGGTTACCACAGCAGACCAATTACTTTAGAATATGTTTGAAAAGGTTGACTCCCTGATGCAAGCCAGCGCTGAGAGTACATTAACTCATTAACCCCCAGTGCAGGGAAGCACACACAAGCACTTTCATTCACATACACTCATACATTATGGCTAATTTTTGTTTTACCCTACAGTATATACCATATTCCCTTGGACTGGGGGAAACTAGAGCACTTAGAGAAACCACAAAAACACAGGGAGAACATGCAAAGTCCTTACAGAAATGCCACCTCAGGACTCAAACCAGCGACTGAGCTTTCAGGCCACCTACTTTATTTAATACATTCTAAAATTATTAAATAAACAAATACTGTAGTACTTCAAGGTGACAGGACTTTTATTAATTTGCACAACATTAGAAAAAATAACATAATGACAATATGTTGTCACAGAATAAAGATCTGCAAATAAATCAACTTTAAAATGTAAGAAAGAATCTTATAATTCCAAAAGTAGAAGATTTACAGACTCTGACACTTAAATGGACTTCAAAGTGAAATGGAAGTCAAAGATGACCTTTGTTGGCCATATTGCTATATGGTATTTTGGTTAATGTGAATATTTTAGTTAAATTCGTGATTTCTATAAAGCATTAACAGAAGTTACTACTCATAAATTTGAATTTTTCTGCATCTTCCAAAATTTAAAATAAATTAATATATGACAAAGAAGTACTCATCCGAATATTGGTGAACAAATGCTAATGCATTTTTTTTTACTAAAGGTCATTTGTTTGAGATGAAATGCATAATATATATTCCACTTTTATGAAATCATGTCCATGAAATATGACAGACCTTCTTCCGATACAATTAGCTCCTGCAAGTGTTAGCAATAACAAGTGACACGTACAGCTAAAAGTGCTCAAAGTACTCAATGGAAAGTCAGCAAATTCTGAGAATGAGAATGTTGCAAAATATGTAAATAAGCAGGAAGGTCAGATATATAAACCCCTCGAGTTGGTGAGACATTGGTGACTCAGAAATGGCTTTCGTCTGGATTTTGTCGTGCCTTGCCTTGATTGGAACAGCATATGGTAAATTGCTGATTTTTTCCCTCTTATTTAACAATTTGAATGAATGTGTCCCACTTTGATTTATATAAAAATTTTAACAAGTGCTTTTTTATTCTGAAGGCTGTGGCGTTCCTGCCATCCCTCCTGTTATTACCGGTTATGCCAGGATTGTAAACGGTGAGGAGGCTGTCCCTCATTCCTGGCCCTGGCAGGTGTCTCTGCAGGTATGAACAGACAGATTTTCACTTACAGATGACATTAGGATAGGCAACTGTGAATAAAAAAATTGATCTGATGTTTAATGTAAGGACTCCACCGGCTTCCACTTCTGCGGAGGCTCCCTGATCAACGAGTGGTGGGTTGTGACTGCTGCTCACTGCAACGTCAGGTAAGACAGCATTGACGCTTTGTTTCTCCATCATGCAATGAATTTAAGACGTATGTGCAAATTTGAGAGTAAAATAGTCAAATCTTTTTATTAGGACCTCTCACCGTGTCATCCTGGGTGAGCATGATCGTTCCTCCAATGCTGAGCCCATTCAGACCATGACCGTTGGAAAGGTATGGTGAACTCTAAAAAATGCTAGGTCATTGTTACTCCATGTTGGGTCAAATTTAGATAAATCCAACAGTTGGGTTAAAACGTGTCATTTACATGGTTTAAATGTTGGGTTTGTCCATATTTAACCCAATGCTGGGTTAGGACAAACAGAGTGGATATTATAAGTAACACACTTATGTCAATTAGATAATAATTTAACACAGATGAGAAATCTGCTGCTGCAAGACAGGATAATTGGTCAATGGAATGCTTACATGTCCATATTTTCTTTACAAAGGTTTTCAAGCATCCTAATTTCAACATGTTCACCATCAACAATGACATCCTGCTGATCAAGCTGGCCACTCCTGCTAAGATCAACACTCATGTGTCTCCTGTGTGTCTCGCCGAGACCAACGACAACTTCCCTGGTGGCATGAAGTGTGTGACCTCCGGATGGGGCCTGACCAAACACAATGGTATAAATATTTTCAAAATTTGAGTCACATTTATTATCTTATCTGTAAAAATGAAAGTTTGGTGGTTTAAAATTGTATAAATATGTAATCATATTTTTTATGCTTACTGTATAATATTTCATTGTATGCATAACATATCTTTATGTTACCATATTTCAAACTTAACCTTTTTAGGTTAATTATCCAATTAATTCTCTATAATCGTGAATCATTTTCTTTCGTGCAAGCTTTCAAACACATTTTTGTAACTTTTTTTTAGCTCCTGATACCCCTGCCCTGCTCCAGCAGGCCGCTCTGCCTCTGCTGACCAATGAAGACTGCAAACGCTTCTGGGGAAACAAAATCACTGATCTAATGGTCTGTGCTGGAGCATCTGGTGCTTCTTCCTGCATGGTAAGTCCTTCTGTTTTTCTCAGTTTACCTCTCTATTTGTCAAGTTTTCAAACACGGTATATATCTGACTTATATTTTGCCTGTTTCAGGGTGACTCTGGTGGTCCTCTGGTGTGTCAGAAAGATGGAGTCTGGACTCTGGTTGGTATCGTGTCCTGGGGTAGCAGCGTTTGCTCCACCAGTTCTCCCGGTGTTTACGCCCGCGTCACCAAGCTCCGTGCCTGGGTTGACCAGACCATCACTGCAAACTAAATCACCAAGCTAATGTTCATGGTCATAATGTTCATCAATAAAGCTTTATTTTGAAAAAAAAGAAAACACCCTGCTTGTTATTATGCTTTAAAGTAATTTACAATAGACATTTAATTTATTTGAGTGATTTTTATTGTGTTTTACTAATATAAAAACAACAATCAGACAGAACATTTTTTGGGATAATTGTTCAAAAATGTCTAAAATACTAGTGATATAGTTATTCATGATCATCTGCAAAACTAGGTAACAAAGAGTCTACAAATGCGTAAACTCTAACCCAGATTTGAGAAAACTATATAAATAAACCCAACCCTTGAGTTTTTAAGTGAATAGGACATAAATAACAAAAATATGTTGTTTTTAATTATGCTAGATCTTTTTTTAGATGTCTAGCAAATGTTATTACTTTTACTTTAGTTTATACTTTATTGTGGACTTTTGTTTGTCCCTTGTTTTGTTTGTTTTTTCCAAAGAAGTTTAACTTTTTATTTATCAGAGGATAGCTGTTGTTGTCATGAATTTTAGACAGAACCCATTAAGAACAGAACAGCCAGTGAGGTTGAAAAAAGTCTTTAATTAAAAAAAAAACACACAACAAATTTGCGAAAAACAAGCCCAAACAGCAGCGAACAGGGCAGAAAACAAAAGACCCATGGTAGCTTACAAACTATGTTCAGTAGTAGGGCACTTATTAGGGAGTCAACTATTTTAGGCGGTTTCTCAATTGCAAAATTCATCCAGTGCACTGAAACACTAACACCCTGAAAGTCCACAATGCACTTTGAAAATCAGGGCACGTTCACTTTGCACCCTTATCTTAGAAATGTGAAACATGAATCAGATTAACCAAATCACCAAAAATAATGAAAAACATACATTTCTAAAAAAATAATAACAAATGTAAATATATATATTAAACAAGAGCAAACATAGCTTAAGACAAGTTGTTCCAAATTGTTTGATTGTTGAAATGTTGACATGTTTTATAAAACAATCAAATAAATAAATGTACTTTTATAAACTTTGTACAATTAATACGAAAAGTGCAGTTGTTTATTAATTCCAGCTTTGATGTTGTACAATCCGTTTTAATGTCACACTTAGTGTCGAAATGTCTAAAGATCCAAACCCATCACTATCCTTAGCAGTCCTGAATTTATACATGGCCACCAAAACAAATCAGACAAATCATGACGCAAAAACCAAAACAAGACTATGTGAAAGCACACAACCAATAAAACAAACCATAGTTGTGTGCAGCACAAAACAAGACAAAAGCAGGACAAAGACAAAAGAAAAAGCTGAGGGAATTAATGCTCACCAATGCAAAAAGAAGAAAAAAAGGAGACATAATATATGAGTGTTTGAACCTCAGCACTAAACAAAATCCAAGCTAGACAGAAGTGCTGTGATCATACACGGTAAAGAAAACAAAGCACGCCAAAGGTCACAGAGGGACCAGACAATAAAGCAGTGTCAGGACTCTGCCACAAAACAAAGAATTAACAAGACAGAAGTGGCAGAATCCTGACAGTTATAGCTACTGATTTTTCAGCACATTACTATGAACCACTTTCCCAGAGATGGGTTGTGGCTGGAAGGGCATCCGCTGCGTAAAAATGTCCTATATGAGTTGGCAGTTCATTCTACTGAGGTGACCCCGGATTGATAAAGGGACTAAGCCGACAAGAAAATGAATGAATGAATGATACTATGAACCACTCTAAATGGGCTCATTTACATCGAAACTATATCTTTGCCTCTAAAACATGAGATGTAACACTCAGGAATAGTTTAAAAATACATATGTGCTTTAAAAGAAGTGAGATGAGAGTGTAATGGTCATACACATCCGTCAAGCACGTTTACATTTAAAACCATGAAAAGGAGCACGAATGGAAAAACAAATCTTTGGAATTGGAATTTTTGGAATCACATTCAAATCTTCAAATACAACCACAGAAACTTGACACTTAATCACACTGGTGCTTTTATAAATATTCCAATATATTGCAGAGTGAAGCACAATGAAGCATTCTGCATAAAATGCGTAATCTAATTAAGGGATAAAGTAGGTGGTTGTTATCACATAATATTACACAGCACTCTGGAAAACTTGATTATGATTGCTTACTCTTATGCCACGGTCATACTAGAGATTAAGTTTGCGAAATTCTGTCATATACAAAAACAATGGGATTAGGCAAGATGATTAGACATTTAAAAAAGTGAGCGATTGGACCGTAATTTAAATGTCTGTCCATAGAGGTCATGTTTTGATCTTCAATTGGTCTCACACAATCTCGTGATGCGATTTCGCAGGTCAGAGTTAACAAAGCTTGAACTTTGCAATGCAGCGAACTGCAAAACTTGTCACACAAGCTTGCGTTTCTGGTCTGACACATTTGTATGCGTATGAATGGAAGTCTATGGGATAAAAAGTCCAGTGTGACCGCGGCTTTATGCAACATGTCAGTTTTATTCTGCAAAAACAACTGTCTAGATATACATTATCCTATCTATTTCATGGCTACTTGCCACAAAACATAAAAATTTGACACAAAACATTGTTCTGAGCTATAATTCTTTAATTAAATGCAAAGCTGACAAAAACAAAAACAACCTAATGGAGCATACACTAAGCTATTTTATTTCAGTCACAACAGACAAGCGGTCAAGCATTTGTTTAGATGTAAACGTATTCACCAATGGTCAAGATGATTCAAAGATGATTATTGTATATGAGCCTGTGCTATTAGTTTCAGCTATTGTAATCTGAGATTGTAGTCTGGAATACTTGATTGTGTTTGGTTAGTCACAACATCCAAATCCAACATTCAAATTATGCCACTCCCAGAAAACAACCGCTGAAACTAATTAATCCAGGTACTTCAAATCATCTTGACTGTCATTGAATATGCTCTAAAAAAATATGTTAGCTGTTTTAATTTAAATGAGCTGAAACAACACAATTCTTGGGTTTTTTGGAGGTCAACTTCATTTTTTTTATTCTGTTCCATTCCTAATTCTACTTAATTTGTAAAAAACTAACTTAATTCCTTTTGTTATCCAAGCACAAATCAATTGTGTGGATCAGAACAACGTTTTCTGTCCAATCATTTAGTTTTGTGGCATGTAACCATGTTATAAACACTATAAACTACATGAAGGCAGTTGTTTTTACAGAATAAAGCTCTTCAATCTTATATAAGCCTATCGTTCTTTATTCTCTAATAACATCTGCCTGGATGTATACTTTTATGGCTTACATAACATGCCTTGACATGACTGACCAATCAGATTCAAGTATTCTAGACAGCCATGCAATATAAACTTTTTAAATATCATTAAAAACATTGAATTAATAGTTCCCACTGTCTGTCTGTTCTTCAATTCAGCCCATGCTTTCTTAGCATATTGCCCGCTTCCCTGGAGTAAATCACTAAGGTTTCTGTATTTGCCATTCCATGCTATTCATCCTGTTTGGATGAGCACCACATGAATAAATATAAATCTGAAAATGAATGCAAATGACTTATGAATAAAACATGGTCTACCAAGCTCAGTTGCTTGTCTCTGAATTAAATGTCATAATATTAGAAGTTTGGCAATGTTATAAAACACACCAGTATACAATTAAATGCATTTATTTAATCCAAAAATACAGACAATTATATGTTGTTGGGATATACAAACACAGTAGATGTCTAGAGTTTTTTCCTTGCTGTTAAAAACCCATCTTGACAAAAATTGGATGAGTAGATATTTTTTTATTCTCAATGCTGAACACATTTGTGCTCAATGAGTTTTTTTTCTGATTCAGTAAATAAAGGGTTGTGTGTTTGTGTTCTTTTAGTATTAAAAAGTAAAACAAATCTTCACAATTGTTTTATAATGGTAACAATTTACTATAAGCTTGCATTAGTTAATGTTAATTTACTAACATAATAAACAATATCTTTATTAAAGTTATTCATTTTTGGTCATGTCAGTTCATGGAAATAAAGTTCATTATTATTACATGTTAACTCAATGTGTATTAGCTAATAATGTGAACAAGCATGCCTTTGGATTATAATAATTAGTAAATACTGAACCACGATTAAGTATTATTCATCCTTAGTTCATTTTAGTAAATACATTAACTCACATCAGCTAATGAAACATTATTATAAAGTGTGACCCTTTAGAATACAGTAAATGTTAGAATGGAATTTCACAAAGACTGATGAGAATTAAGCTTTGTCATCAGATTAATCAACGACATTTTAGAATATATGGAAATAGGATACACTGTAAAGAGTTTTTACTTTTTTCCGACAGCTGGGGTGCTGGGAAAAGAAGTAAAATAACGGCTGTTAAATTACAGCTATTTACCATAAAATAACAGACAGTAAATTACAGAAATTTACTGGAAATTAAAATTTAAGTTAACTTCTGTAATTTACTGTCTGTTATTTTATGGTAAATGTCTGTAATTTAATAACAGTTATTTTACTTTTTTTCCAGCACCCCAGCTGCCTGAAAAAAAAAAAAAAAACTTTAAATAACAGATTTCTTTTACAGTCTATTTTTTTATTAACTGTAATAATATTTCACACGATAGTTATTTTTTCCTGTATAATTTTAAAAAAATGCTGAGTTGCTCTGCCTTACAATATACAGTACTCAACTAAGAAATCTCTATTATCCCAAACAGTGACTGGTAGTTTACACACATTTAATTTACTGTACATGATGCTGCACAAAAAAAAAAAAAAAAAAGCAGAAAGCCTACATGAAGAGATTTGCTTGAGCTGGGAATCCGCGCAGATGTGACACAAAGGCCTTGAAACTAGGAAAACAGCTTTATCATTATGGATGAAAATATACAGCCAATCAGGTCAGGGTTGTTCCATTCAGCACGTTTTGTAAAATGCATGTTACACAAGACATATTAGGAGAGAGCTGAAATCTATAAGCTCACGTAACTGATGAAAACATATGAAATGATTAATCGTACAAAGAGGCTTTTTTTCTTGCAAAAGCTATTTAACAGAGATATTGTGCAA